TTTTTTTCTTGCAATGGGGTCTTGCTTTGTTACCTAGGCTGGAATGCGGTGGCAGGATCTTGGCTTACTGCAGCCTTACTCTGCTTTCCAGGGTTCAAGCTATCCTTCCACTTCAGCCTCTTGAGTAGTTGGGGCTGTATGCAAAGGCCACCACCCCTGGCTTTCTTTTTTCTGGTAGAGACAGGGGTTTTTGACTGTGTTGCTTATGCTGGTCTCAAACTCCTGGGCTCAAGCAATGTGCCCACCTCAGTTACCCAAAGTGCTGCTATCACAGGCGTGAGCCACCATGCCTGGCCAGCAATTTTTTTTAAATAGTAGGTATACGTATAAAGTATCGAGACCAGAGGTTTTATTGTTGTTTTGTACTTATTCATAAATCCTCTGGCCTCACATATCCAATGGGTGTTGTCAGTGAGAAGTGGTCACTGTGGGGACCATGTACATATTCCAACCATGCTGCCATGATTCACATTTTCTTCTTTTGGAATTATCTTCAGGGTCCCTAGCATGCCCATCATTCCCTCACTAGATGCATTGACAGTGCCTGAAAGGTACCGCTAGGCATGAAGCAAATGCTCAGTAACAACCTGGACAGCAGCAAACCTCTGTCCTCCAAGGACAAGCTCCATCTGGGGCCAAACACCCTTGGAGACACAGAGTTTGCAAGAAGGGGGCCAGGTGAGGGACGCCTTGGGGCTAGGTGAGACCAGTAGCTACAGACATATTTGGGGTCTGCTGGATCAAACTGTAGCAGGAGCGACCTCGAGAAACAGAGCTCCCCAACACCGAATAGGGAAGGAAGAGGTCTTTATTATAGCCAGGAGCTGAGGAACAATTTGTCCAAATTCAGCTCGTCCCACAAAGGAAGGTTCTGCCTTTATATAGGCTTATACTTCAGATATTACACGTGGAAGAATCTCAGGTTTATAGCTTCAAGAATCACATATGAAAAGGTTTCAGTTCCTAGTTTTAGGACTCACATGTGAAAAGGTTTTGGTTTACAGTTTCAGGAATCACATATGAAAGGGTTCCAGTTTACAGTTTTAGGACTCACATGTGAAAAGGTTTCTGTTTACAGTTTCAGGAATCACATATTAAAGAGTTCCGGTTTACAGTTTTAGGACTCACATGTGAAAAGGTTTCTGGTTTGATCTTGTTTTAAGTAAAAATAGTGCCTTCCAGAGAGTTTCCCCAAGACTCAGCCTGCCACCTACAAGAGGTGAAACAGGAGGTACCAGTCGGTCAGCCTTTTCTTCTACTGAAATGCTGTGTGATAGTCAAAGAGGAAGCTGATCTGAGATGCCTGGGTCTCCCTCTTCACCAGGAGCCTGCCACCTTGGGTGTTGGGAGCACTGACTCTGAACAGGCCCTCTTCCCAGGCCTGCTTGGAAGCTGGAGTCTGCTTCCCCAGCTAACTCTATAATAGCTCTTGGGAACAATGCCCCAAACCAGGCACCCACTAGGTCCCGCAGCAAACTGTACAAATTAAGTTTGTGTGTGCTTTCATGTACACAGGAGGGGCAAGAAACAGCCTCCACATGTTACACAGGATAACGAAGTCCTAAGGGTGGTATATACAGAAAGAAAAGTCTCAGTTGCCTGAAAGCAAGTGAGGGGAAAGATTTGAAACTGCTCCAAGCAAAAGCAAGAGTTTCCTTTTCCAAGGAAGCTCCACAGAAGATTAATGATTATTTGATGGTAAGTGCTATTACACTTGGTGGGGGGGGAAAGGTGTGCAGCTGTTCTGCCATCACACCAAATCAGCTCACGGAGGCCAGGCCTCTAGGGTGACATAAGTGGTCTCTCATGCCAATCACCAGAAACCCTGCCCTGCTCTTACTTTCAGCCTTTCCAGTTCCAGCTGGTCCCTGCCAATAGGCACAGCCGATGGGGAGCCAGGTGCTGTGGTGGGAGGAGGTCCGCTGCCATCACCCTTGCTGAGCTTGATGATGACCCCGTCCTTGGCTTGGACAGTCTCCATCAGTATCCCTAGCTGCTCATTGAGCTCACCCACCTTGCTCTTCAGCATCCTCACTTCCTGCTGAAGACTCTCCTTCTCCAGGTTGAGACTCTCCAGCTGTCTGGTGAGGCCCAGAATCTGATTATCTTTTTGGTGCAGAAGCTCAAGTGTGTCCTTTGGGACCCCCTTGCAGAGCCGGCTGCTAGTGAAATACTTGTCATACTGGGATGACCGTACTGTCTGCTGGAGCAGCCGAACAAGCTCCTGGGAGCCGAAAGGAGAATGGAGTTAAGGTGAGGAGAGCAAGGAGAGGAGGAAAAGCACAAATCGTGACATGGAGCAATTGTCAGAATTTGAGGAAATGTAGAAACTTTACTGGAAACATTTTAATACTGAACGTCCTCTTGAAGGATCTCAAAAATAGAGAAAAATTTACTCCATAAACACTGTCTGTAGAGAACAATAGGAAACAGGAAATAATGGACTTACACACTGTAATTAGTTAGCAGTGGTGTCCAGTAAATGTTCATGGGTATTTAAAAATCCGTGTTCTAAGAGTCACTGAACTGCTGAACAGTTAAGTGTAATTAGAGCTGATTAGCTCAGGAAACTGTTATTGAATAGAAAGCAGAAAGTCTTTTTAAGGACTGTTAAAGAACTCTGGGCTGAAACTGTGTTTAGGGAGATCCAATCTCAGGGGCAGGACTGGCCTTGGGTACACACAGCAATATCCTGAGTCCTCCTGTGAGAGATCTTCACTCTCCTTGCAAATGCAAACACCTCTGAACCAATGATCACGCACAGCAGCCACACCTAGGATGATGGCCATGGCAATATGAAACGTCCAAGGAAAAGCAGCTTTTGGGAAATGCTGTCCCCGAAAAGATTCGGAAAAACATAAATCGGGCTTTACTCCTCCCGCCCTTGGCCTGCTAATGTCGGGTAAGACAGAAGCCAGAAGTTACCTTCTGACTGGACAGCTGGAACTAACTGTTCCAGCTCTTCCTGCCGGCTCTGGACCCGCAGTGGCATTTCAAAGGCCGGCTTCCTGACACTGACACTGCCACTGCCTGACATGCCTATCACTTGAAGGGTCACCACTGCTGTGATTTTTGTACGACCCAACTGTCTTTCAAAGGGCGCTTTCCTTTGTAGGGGTTACATCCAAAATCAAAGGGGACTCCCGAGCCAGTTACTCCTACATAAAAATAAAACTTGTGTTTTAAACACAAGCCACATCTTCCTTTTACAAATAAAGCACCCTAGCCGGGTGCGGTGGCTCACGCCTGTAATCCCAGCACTTTGGGGGGCCGAGGTGGGTCGATCACAAGGTCAGGAGTTCAAGACCAGCCTTGCCAACATAGTGAAACCCCATCTCTACTAAAATTAAAAAAAAAAAAAAAAAAAAAAAATTAGCCAGGAATCTTGGTGTGCGCCTGTAGTCCCAGCTACCTGAGTGGCTGAAGCAGACGAATCACTTGAACTCAGGAGGTGGAAGTTGCAGTGAGCCGAGATTTCACCACTGCACTCCAGCCTGGCAACAGAGTGAAACTCTGTCTCAAAACAACAACATAAAAATTAAACAATTGTCCTCTCAGAGAATTTTCTCTCTGCAGTATTCCTATAGGTTCTAAAATTAGTTTGAATTATTAGAAAATTAAAATATTTTAACTGCTTTGTGAAAATATGAATGACAAAAATCTAAATATATGTAAGTAGACATAATCCACATTTATATATTTACAAACATATAAAATATGTATATTAAATGTGTTTAACCTCAACAACATTGAAGTGCTAAACAATATTTTTATGTTATACGCCAGAGTAGAAGGAAAAATGGTATAATATATTCTGCTTATAGAACTAAAGTTATTATTTAAGGATACCAGACCAGACATTCACTTCCTTTTTCCTTTTGAATTATATAGGAAGATAAACTGGGCCCAGTGGCTCACACCTGTAATCCCTGCACTTTGGGAGGCCGAGGTGGGTGGGTCACCTGAGGTCAGGAGTTCAAGACCAACCTGGCCAACATGGAAAAACCCCATCTCTACTAAAAATACAAAAATTAACTGGGCATGGTAGCACTCACCTGTAATCCCAGGTACTCTGGAGGCTGAGGCAGGAGAATCCCTCGAACTCGGAAAAAGAAAGGAAGAATGAGTATGTGAGGATTCCTGAAGAATATAGTATACTATATTCTGAGACAGAATGACTTATCCAAATTTCAGTTTACACAAATGCTCTCAGAAAGTGTAGGACATCTATAACATCTAGATATGAAGCCAGGATCAAAGCAAGAAGTGAGAATCATCTGGTCAAAACAAACTCCTGGCATAGTATTTAGGAAGACTTTAACCAAATTTGTAAAAGCTTAACCAAACTCATGCTCAGGAACCAAAGCAGCCAAAGACTTAATCGGCTTCTCCAAGTGGACTTAATGTGTTCTAATAATACTTAACCTAAAATGGGCTGCTGAGTGCAGCTCATTATCATTATGAGCATCACTGTCATCATCACCTGCAAGAGCCACATAACAATATGCAGATGATTCTGGGTTCTTTTAAAGCGCATACATACTTAGGATTCCTTTGGGAGGATGCAATTTCACATTTCTATGAAAAACTTTCACTACCACAGTCAGCTCTAATATTTGATAACACTTGGTAATAAAATAAAGGCTTGTTATCATATACTCTAGCGTACTTCTGTTATTCAAATCTTCCTAACTGGGAGTTACAAATACCTCTGACTCTGCTCTTGGGCCCTTCCCACTCTTGCCTACCTTCCAGACTCCAAAGCCACCTCCTCCTCAAAGTTGGGCCCAATTACTTTGGACTAGTATTTTCTTCTCAGTTACTGAGCACAGTCAGTACTTTTTGTTCTATCACTCTTTCGGCAATTCACTGTGCACTTTCTAGTTTATTGAACTGCATAGAACTTAGCTCTCAACAAGACTAAAACTGCCTTATGAACAGAGATCAACACTTAAGAATCTTCAGAGTCTCCTATAACATGTGAGAGCTCACTAAATGTTTCCTGATTCAAATAACTAGGCTTAAGAGTAATAGCAGCTAGGTTTATAGAGTTTACTACATGCCATATCCACTGCTAAATGTATACATGGATTTTACTAAATTTTCCTAACTCTATAGACGTAAGTGCTATTTTCTCCATCATTGAGGAAAAAAGTGAAGCTCAGAGTATTGCTCAAGGTCATACAGCTAGTACCTGGCAAAGCCAGGGCCTGAATCCAGCAAACTTCTTAACTACCTCCGAACACTGCACAGTTGTGGCCCTGCAATACGAGTCTATGAATGATTTCGATTTCACCGTTAGAAGCTTGAATTTCAACAGGGCAGAGACATTTTAGGTAAAAGGCAAAACTTTAAAAAGGATGAATTAACAGAATTTCCCAGACACCTTTATAATAAAACGAGGGGAAAAGCTCCCATGTACTACTTATGAAAGTCATATTAAGTGTGGGTCACGGTTCCATCAAGAAGTGGCTTATGACAATAGAGCTTTGGTTTAGATTTTTAAATAGGACTCTTTTTCTCTGCCCCTAGGAGGACGTGGAAATGAAGGATGGCTATAACTGTCTAAATCAGAGCTCTTCAAAATGCCAGACTCACTTCTTGTTTTAAAAAATCAGAGCCAGGGCTCTTGTTCCACCCTTGACTCTTCACACAAAGCAGCACCATGCTCTGCTTTCTTCACACGTGGCAAGCTTTACCCCACGTGGTGCTAATCCACACGGTCTCCCCATCTCCGCTAGAAATTGATCCCAAACACCAATACCTTATCAAGCCGACCCCTCCCCGACATCCAAAATGCCCAGGCCACCATCCGAAAGCCGGTCTCTTCTACAAAGCGGTTTCCCACCTCCGACTCCTCCCCGCGGCGCACAATCCAACTAACCCATAGACCCCAGTAGTGCCCACCACCCAGAGGGTCCACAATCTAGAGAAGCAGCTACAAGCCCTGGTACTCGCATGCCTCGAACCAACCCCCAACTCCAGCTGACCTTCCCTCTGCAACACCAGATCAAGAACACCACGAGTCCCCGCCGGAGAGCGGAACTGGCCGCACAAAGCCAGGCGCCGGACCAGAGGGGCCCTCGGGGACGCCCTCCGCCCCAGGGCCGTCCCCGCCCAGCCCCGCGCTCTCCTGCGCTCTTCCCGCTCCTCCCAGGGTGGCAGGCGCTCCAGCTCTTCCAGCAAGCTGCCCTCGCAGCTCCGCGCTACTCGTCCGCCTCGGGTCCATCCCGAGCGGCCGCTCGAGTTGGCGCTGAAGCCCCAGGGGAAGCCTCGAGGGGACCCCGCACCGTAGGAGGGAGGGCAGGCGCCTGCGAACCGTGCTGCGGGGCGGAGGGAGCCGGGGCCCCGCACAGCCCGAGCAGCTCCTCAGCTGTTCGTGTTGCTTCCCCGGCTTCTTCAGCGGCTCCTGCAGCTTCCGCACCTCCGGGGCCGCGTTCACTTGGGAGTTAGCGTCCTCCATCCCGGCCCCGCTGTCTCCGCCGCTCACACCAGCCGAAGCGCCCGCGTACGGCAGAGCCAGGCCCGCCGCCAGGATCCCCCCATCCCGGGTTCCGTAGCGCCGCTGGCCCCAGAAAAGTCGGCTCAACCGCGCGGGTCAGGGGTTGGGGGAGGCGGCGCCAAAATCCGGCCCCTGCCGCCATCTTCCCTCCGTCCCGCCACCTCCCGCGGGGCGGCCCGGTTGGTGGCCTCAGAGTCGAGAGTGGGTGTGGCGTCCGGCGGGCGCCAAGACAAACCAGCAGCGAGCTCCCGACGAGGCGGGGCCAGCTGTGTGAGGGGGCGGGGCCTAGGCCGGAAGGGGCGTGTGTGCACTGCCGGCGGAAGTGAGACGCCGCCGGGCCTGCGACGGAAAGCCGCTGAGGGCCGGGAGGTGAGCGGCAGGTGAGCGGCAGGTGAGCGGCAGGTGAGCGGCAGGTGAGCGGCAGGTGAGCGGCAGGTGAGCGGCAGGTGAGCGGCGAGCTGGGCCGAGGTGGCAGACGCGGTCCCAGTTCACCCCGCCGGTTGGTCTCGACGTGTGGGGTGTTCTCCACCCACTTACACGGCGAGTGGGACCCGCGGATCAGTCCCGCCTGGCTCCGGGCCAGATCTCGAGTGGGCGCTCGACAGGGTCCGGGGAGAGACAGTTTACTTTGCTGAGCAAATATTTATTCGATGGCTGCTTTTAATTGGAGATCGCCTCCGCTGGCGGCAGCCTCAGAGACCGCCTGTGTCCTGTTTCTTCCTCTGAAAGTAAAAAACCCGAATTTCGGACGAGAGGTCTAAGGTCAAAATAACCATAATTTCGTGAGTGCTTTCTACTGGCCAGACACTAGCCTAAGCGGGTGGTGGTGGTGGTTGTTGTTTTGTTGTTGGCGGAGAGAGTCTCCCCTCTCAGGCTGGAGTGCAGGGCGCCATCTTGGCTCCTGCAACCTCCGCCCCCCGGTTTAAAGCGATTCTCCGGCCTCACGCTCCCAAGTAGCTGGGATTACAGACGGGCGCCACCAGGCCCAGCTAATTTTTGTATTTTTGCACAGTCGTGTCAGTGGATTCTTGTGGGTAGACGTAAGGCTGATTCGTGTGAGACAAAATTTAAAAACTAGAGGATGACAGAACGAGCATCTGGACTAAAATAAGGCCAGTGATAACAGGTACCATTTTTGAGTTCACTCAGTGCCAGGTGCCATGTTAAGTTTCTTATGTACTCTCTATGTTCCTCAAAACAAACCACAAAGTACGTATTATTACAGTATTTTTATAGAAGAGGAAACAGGTTTGGAAATCCTAAGTGTCTTGCCCTAGCTCACGTAGGTACTACGTAAAGGTCATCAGATTCTAACCCACATCTCCACAACTGTCACTAAATCGCACCTCCTCCTCCGTCCCAGCACTACTTCATTAGCTCCGTAGCTCTGTCCTTGTTCTTCCTGTGCAGTATGAGACGCGCCCATGTTCTGTAGTCACCTGTATCTTCACTGCTCAGTACCAGGCCTGGTGTGGAAGGGATGCTCAGCAGATAGTTGCTGAGTCAGCGAGGGAAGGCTGTGTCATGCGAGGACAATGTGGAAAGAGCAACTTATTAAGCTAATAAAATCCCCAGCTGCTATTGGGAGTCCAGGTCAAGAGAAGAAACCCGGCCGGGTGCAGTGGCCCAAGCCCATAATCCCAGCACTTTGGGAGGCCACGGCGGGTGAATATTCTGAGGTCAGAAGTTCAAGACTAGCCTGACCAACATAGTGAAACTCTGTCTCTACTAAAAACACAAAAAATTAGCCAGCCGTGGTGTCAGACGCCTGTAACCCCAGCTACTCAGGAGGCTGAGGCAGGAGAATCACTTGAACCCAGGAGGCGAAGGTTGCGGTAAGCGGAGATCACGCCATTGCACTCCAGCCTGGGCAACAAGAGCAACACTCCGTCTCAAAAAAGAAAAGAAACCCCATTGTACTCTTTGCTGATGGAGCTATAGTTGAAATGCTGCACCACCTTTTAAGGGTGGCATGGCACCCCTTTTCAGAAGGGGTGACTCCCTCAGCTCGAGGTGGTAGGCAGCCATTATAGAAATTTAAAAGAAAAGCCGTAGTGTCACCAGGGAAAACCCAATAACCCTGCCATGCGGTCTCACGGGTTGTGTTTACTTTCAGCTGAACATACTGCATATAAGTTGAGTAAGTTGAGCAAGTGGAGGGAGGAAATAGCAGAGATGGATAGGCAAGAGCTCCTGTCATTGAAGATAAAACAAGCGACCGGGTGTGTGGTGGCTCACACCTATAATCCCAACACTTTGGGAGGCTGAGGCAGGTGGATCACGAGGTCAGGAGTTCAAGACCAGCCTGGCCAAGATGGTGAAACCCCGTCTCTACTAAAAATACAAAAATTAGCTGGGCTTGATGGTGGGTCCCTGTAATCCCAGCTACTCGGGAGGCAGAGGCAGGGAATTGCTTGAACCCGGGAGGCGGAGGTTGCAGTGAGCCAAGATCATGCCACTGCACTCCAGCCTGGCCAACAGAATGAGACTCCTTCTCAAAACAAAGCACTGAATTTATGTATATCAATGGTCTCGTCCTTACATTCATTTATAGACCCAAAACTTAATTTTGGCCAGCATGCCAAAATGTGACCCATTTACCAATGTTTGCTATTTCATTGTGATCCATGAACCAACAGCATCAGCATCACTTGGGAGCTTATTACACCCATAAGATAGCAGGCCCTCCCCAGACCTGCTGAGTCTGAGTCAGTATTTTAACATGATCCCTGGGGGATTCATATCGATAGTAAAGTTTAGGAAGTACTACTATTAATCAACGTATAAACCAAGTGCTGATTTGCAAGAAGAAATAGAATTATCCTGCAAAGGATAATATAGCCATCCTGTACACAGTATTCTCCCCATTCAGATAGATTTAAGAGGTTGCTAGTGACCCTTACTTCCCTCCTGCCACCATCACTCCCACCCCCATTCCAAGGAAATGACTTTTCAGCTGAAATCACAAGGCTTAAGTAAGCATTCATTAGGTGGCCGGGCGCGGTGGCTCACGCCTGTAATCCCAGCACTTTGGGAGGCCGAGGCGGGGGGATCACGAGGTCAAAAGATCGAGACCATCCTGGTCAACATGGTGAAACCCCGTCTCTACTAAAA